TGCACATCACCTGCCATCCAGGGACAGAAGGAGGTGACGGGGGGGGTAAGACAAGAACTCCCCTGTTCCTCAGGGGTACGACAGACTGTATCCTAGTCTCTATCCCCGGCACACATCATGTAGCTTGTCCTCACAGATACCTGTGTAAGCCACCTCATGACATACCGGTAAGACTAGTTATCACAGCCTATCATGACTTCATCCTCCCGGATGTTGATAGGGCCCTTTTCCACGCAGAAGTCAAGCTCTCAAATGGTTCAAATGCATGTTAGCCTACGGGCAAGCTATGGACCACATTGATCAGCTTACCAAAATCGGCCCTGTGCGTCTCTTATTCAAATGAATTCTGGTGCGCCACTCCTGACAAGGTCAGCGTGGATGCCAGCTCGCTGCTGCTCGCACCAAACAACCGTCACAAAAAGCGCGGCCCCAAGCCATAGCCTCCCTCATGTCCTGCGTCGTCATTGGCTTCACCAAGCGGATTGCACGCTCAGCAGATTGCTTGTGGGAGCAGAGGGTCTGGCCATTGTTGAGCTCCAGATGAACCTTTGAACGCAGTGTCGCAATGTAGCCGCAGGGCTCTGGGAACGGGTTCCTGAGGGAGCTGGTCCTGAGAGTCGCGTCCACCCACGACCTCATACCCGTTTCATTGATGATCCCCGGAATGTCCAACGAGCGCCTGCAGCTCTTCACGTAGGCCACTGCAACATCCCAGCTCTCCTGGGCTAGCAGCGCCCGGAACACACAGCCCCCAACACCTGCTCGGTGGCGCCCTGATAGGCAATGGATCAAGGCCGACTCACCTGCATACATCGTATTGCGCAGCAAGGGCCAGACTTCTTCGAAGTCCCTGTTCCTCGAACCACCATGGGCCACACACAGGTGTTTCAAGAGGGCATCTGTGAGCACCACTCCTCCTCTGCATGATGGGGCTTCGGCCATGCACGCAATCTGAAGGGTAACTCCCTTTGGAAAGCGGTTTGCCGTGTTCCTGGTTGGAATTCCACTCAGCCACAGCTTGCCCCCTGCCCTATTCTGATAAATAAGGCTCGGGCTCTCCGCTGTCTTGCCGTGGATCGTCGCCAACCTGTCGAACTTCTGGTCGGGCCCTCGAGTATCCAGTGCCTCTGGAATCGGAAGGTCCTCCTCCTCAACTTCGACTTCTTCTTCTTCCGAACTGGTCACCAGGGCTGGTAATGGCGCAGGAGGTGGAGCTGGGGCTGCTTTGGCCTTCTTCGCTGGCGGTGCCTTAGACGGCGGCCCTTGTGGGGACCGTGGGCGCCTCACTGACGCCTTAGGAGGGGCAGCTGGCTCCGGAGGTCGCTCCTCCGTGGATTTGCTAGTAGGCTTGGCCTTAGCAGATCCCGAACCAGGCCCTTCGCCAGTCATCTCCTCCACCTTGATGAACTTCTTGTCGTGGCATTCACATGCCGGATGGCCTCCACCGCAAACTCGTCCAGCTTTGCGCAGAATGGCGCATGCATGGCGACCAGGGCACGCTTCCTTCTCCAAGGGGCAAGACCTCGTCTGAAAAGCTCCACAAATGGGTGCCCCATTCTTCATGAATGCGCTCAGCACCTTCCCATTGAGAGATGCCGGCATCGCAGACAGGCCACCCTTGGATTGTGCCTCTTCTCGTTTGGCCGCGGCCTTGAGCTTAAGCGCCTCCGACAGCTGGAAGCGCGCCTGCATCTCAGCCTTCGTCAAAGGAGCTGCCCAAATGACCCTGGATTCCTGCTTCAGCACCTTGTCCACGTTCTGGCGCGCATACTCAAGGGCCTCAGCATAGGTCTCCGTTGGGATGGTCTCCCATGACTCATGGGCAAGCAGCTTCTCCATAGCCAGCCGCACAATGTGTTTGGTCCTCAATGAAGACTCATACCGGGCTGCACTGTAGTGCATAGGCATCGTCGCCTCCTTTGGGATCTGGGAACGATCTGCCCAGTCCCCCAATGAGCATAGCTCGAGAGGCGTCAGCTTCATCAAAGTGCCCACTGTAGGTGCTGCTCGCCGCCAGGAGTAGGAAGACAAATCCTCTGTATTCTGGACTAAGTGCTCAAAGACCTCACGATTGAGCTCGTTGACGAACTTCAAGGTGTATGCGGTGCCCTCCGCATCAAAGCATAACCCTGAGGCTGCTTGCTTAGCCTTATCCAGACTGCTGTAGTCCCTGAATAGGGCCGAGCCCCAAGCCCATCCGTTGACGAATGTGGCCGGAATGCTGAAGGAGAACCCGCCCCTGTTGGCCTTCTGCTTCCCCTTCGTGCAGTAGCCATGAAAGGAGCTAGGGGTCACTTTGACTGGCCTGGCACGCATGATGTGCTGGTATCGCAGGACACCAAAGGTAACCAGCCAGCTGGACAGTAAGCCCCTCCAACGCGGGTCCCCTGCTTCGTACAACGATTGAATCTTCTCTTCAAGCGCTGCAATCACTGGGGGCTCAACTGCAACAGCCTGTTCTGGGTTTGCCTGTTTGGGTGGATTCTTACGAGCTGGAACTGGTACATCACTGAAGTCCCATTGCAACCGGCCATGTTTGGAGAACCACTTCAAGGAATGAAAGGCTCGGTAAGGCCCCGACGTGCCATTCTGCAAGAAGCCATAGAGGTCCAATGCATCCGGTGGGAACAAGCGGTCCTTCTGCTCCATGTAGGCCCGCAACTCAGCCCAAGACTTCAGGGCATTCACCACCGTCGCTCCTTCGGCCTCTGTGACCTTCCGCTTAGACAAAGTATCCAGAGCGTCCTGCCACTGAGCGTACCTCTCCGGGGTCAACTCCCCTTGAGGCCGCATGACCTTGGCCTGAGAAAAGGCCTTCCTCAGTGCCGCAGCTCGCAGCAGCACCGTCTCTGGTTGATCTGGGCCTGGCCGGACTCGAAGAGCTTGGACCATCTTGCTCTTCTTCATCATGGATGCCTTGGGCACAGGCCATGTCGTTGGCCGATCTCTGGAGCCCGAGCTCTCAGCCACAGCAGCCGCTTGAGGGATGAGGTCAGCTTCGGCAGTCTTGGATCGCGCTTGCAACCACGCATCTGCCACATGGTGTCCTCCATGTGCCACTGCGCTGTCATAGGATGCAAACGCATATGCGAAGTCAGTCTCATCATGTAGTCCCCATTGAGCTCGCCACTGTTCAACACGAGTGGATGCCACCCTCTCCATCGCCGTCTCTGCACAAGGTGGAGCCTCGCCAGCAGCTTGCACCGCGTAGGCACCTCGGTGGTACGCCATGGCGACGCCTGACACCACCGCCGCCAAGGTTTGGAGCGTACGGGCTGGGCCTGAAACTGCAGACCAAACCTCAGTGTCATCAGGCAACAAACAAACATCACTAGGCCGCAGCTGCTGCAGATGGGTCTCGACGCAAGACGGGGTGACATCCTGGACACTGGGAGGGTGGACAGGTACTGCACACGGAGGAGAAGCATCGCTCACAGAGCTCAGGTGTCGGCAGTCCACAAGCCCTGCAAGGTGGCAAGGGTTCCTCCCCAGCCTCCATGGCCCCAAGCCAGCCCCATAACGACCGGACTGCTCTGGCCCGTGGTGCTCTCCACGCAACCAGGTCAGCCGGGATGGGCACCAAGGATGGGTCCCTCCATCGACGCTGTGGGGATTGCCAGGTCCACCACACATCCCACAGTTCGGTGAGGTCGACCATGCTATCGGCATTGTGCTCGATGAAGGCGACCAAACCAAAGATGTTGTCCGGCGCAAAGTCCCGAGACGTCCAAGAAGTCCGCAGCGGCTCGATGAGTAGCAAATCCAGCCTCGCCTCGCCCAGGCGATCATAGTAGGATTGCCACGCAAGCCGCGGGTCACTCCCGGGCAGAGCCAAGACAGCTGAGCTGTTCCATGTGCCGAGCCAAGGGAACTTGAATCCTCCCTGATACTCAGTACACCTCCTACAGTTTTCTTCCATACAAGGTGACCGTCTGAAAGGGGGAAGTCCCTGCACCCCCAACCCAATTGGATGTGGGGGGAAATGATCAATTTGGCACACAGACGCCCACAGTCGGGTGGCCTGTGCCACCAAGCCCTGCTGGAGGAGGCTCTCCACATGTGTCTTGAACTCGTAGTAGGCGGCCGCATGAAGCAGCTCCACATCCGTGTGGGCAGCCTCATTCCAACCGGGCCGAACGACAATGGAGGCCCTTGGCATCGAGGGGGTGACCTCCCACCTTCGTAACCTCTGTACTCTAGGGTAACGCCCTAGTAGAGGAACGAGAAACCACTGAACCTAGGGTAACTCCCTAGAAGTGGTGTGGGTACCCCAACAAAAGAAAGAACGATGAAGCCAGTTTGGCTCAGACTTGAGCCAAAATGGATTCATCAGCTTACATACTCACCCTAATGATAATGCACACCCAGTGCCTGCCAAACACGATGCATACATATATATATATATACATATATATATATGTAGGATCTACACATATTCACTCTATCTCTAAGTTCAGACTACATATGATTCTTACTCAGCTACTGGGAAACAAAGCTGGAAAGTTGTGCTGGGTGAACACAAAGCAACCTGCCAGGGGGTACCACTAAGGCTGTCCTGCTGGAAATGGCAAGTCTTGTGGTTTCATGTCAAGGTGGATGACAAGAAAACAGCAAACGAAAACATTGGATTTTGGGTGCTCTACATTCTACATGAAGAATGCAGAAGCCAGCTTGGATCGAGTTCAAAATCAGGGTACCACATTCCATCCATTGGTTAAGCAACATGTTCTCCAGTGTTTAAAACGCTATAAATTGTGGGTATGTACCAAGTATCTTCAGCATGTCAGGTGTCAGGTATAGCAGATTTTTCATGGTGAATTCCCCAGATGTTCAGCAGGTTCCACCCAATGTTTGATGGTAAAATCTTCATTCGTACCATGAATCACCATCTTTCCACGGGTAAATCACAATATTCATGGTAAACCCACCATTTTCTCAGGTAACATCACCATTTTTCACGATAAAATCACTGCCCATCATCAGTTGGACACTCCCAGAGCCTTATCCGAGCACTTGGTCAGCCGCAACGGGGCATCTCTAAGCAACGCCTGCCACAATGGTGAAAACTACCGGCCATTGGGGTCGGGGATGTTTTTAGGAGTGTGTTTCTACTATATTTGGGATGGCTTTGGGTTTACCGCAGTATATATCTACTATATAGTAATATATACACAAAAAATTATACCCTCTGGTAAACTAACATAGCTATGGAAAATCACTAGTTTTAATGGGTAAATCCACTATAAATGGCCATTTTCAATAGCTATGTTAGTTTACCAGAGGGTATATATATATACACACAGACGCATGGATAGGCAGATTGCTCTAGCGCCAACTTGTTGATTCCTGCTTTTTTCTTCTAGCCCTGGCTGACTCCCCGAAAAGTCACACCACAACCTGAAAATGGCTGGAGGATGTTTCCTATTTCCCATAGGATCCATGTATGGTATATATGCTAACATTTGGGGTATATTAATGGTAAATGTTACCATATATGGCATACATGGATCCTATGGGTTTGGACTTGCAATGCTTTGAGGTTCCATGGTTGGTTTCTCCCGGAAATCTATGCTTCACTTCCATTCACTTCCAAAATGCTGTCGGTTTCTCCCAAAATTTAGGGTACCTTTAGGCATTTAGGGAACAACTTCCAAACCCAATGGTTCAGCGCCTGGTCCACGGTGTCTGACATGCCTGGCAGCAAAAGACCACGGCAAGGGCCACCCGGTGTTTGGGAGAGGGAAAAGAAAGCAACATGAAACCAGCAATGAGAAATAAAGTTGCTACATTGCCTAATATATATATATATTATACATATAATGTAATGTGTGTATGTATACATATGCATATATACATATACATACAGTGTATGGTCACCGACAGAATTATGGAAAAAAAAACGTTCAACTTAGACAGGCGGCGCCTGCGTCCGATTTTTCCATAATTGGATTTTTCCCCATAAGGGTTCAAAATATCCCGGAAGTGATCCGAACCTTTTTTTTTTCCATAATTCTTGGAGGTGGCCATTATTTCCATAATTGATTTTTCCTGTGAAATCAGGGGGCTAGGGCAGATTGACCGGTTTTTCCATAATTATTTTTTTCCATAATTATTTTTTCCATAATTAATGTTTGGGGCTCCACCTGTTGGACATGTCATGGATCCACAATTCAAACCCGTTTTTTTGGGGGGTTATGGAAATATGTATGCAAATGCAAGTATGTAGTATCAACCCAATATTTTCTATAATTCAATATTCCCCCTTAAAATGCATTCAAATTGCGAATCGATGGTAATACAGTTACCGACAGAATTATGGAAAAAAAAATAATTATGGAAAAAATAATTATGGAAAAAAAAAGGTTCGTAACTTTTCTGTCATAGACAGGCGGCGCCTGTAAATTGAAACGTTTTTTTTCCATAATTCTGTCGGTGACTGTATATGCATATAAATATGTATGTATGAGCCCGGTCGCTCATATTGATATATATATATATATATATACGTATATACGTATATATATATATATACATACATACATCCCCATATTGTCACATCTCCGGATTTATGTGTGTTCAACCACTTTTTCTATTTTTTGTGGTTAAACCCGCTTAAACCACCGACCCTGCCATCAGCTTTGGACACATCGGGACATGGCCAAACTTCGATACCTCTGAAATACCAGGGCTGGGTCAATGCTGTTAGCTGAAAACACAGCAAAGAACAATGTCAGTACTAACCGATTACAACACACTAATATCAAGGCAAGATAGCCAAACAAAACTGAGCAGTTTCAAAAATCCCATTGACTTTCCTGTTGACTCTCAAGTCTGACTAAGTCTCTTTCGCGGCTACTTTCGCGCCTCTTTCGCGGCCTGCGTTTTGGCTTTCGCGAGGGCACCTGCTTTCTTTTCAGCTATCGCGGAACTTTCGCAGCGACTCGTTTCGCTGGGGTTTTCGCTTTCGCGGCAATTGACTGTGGCTACTTTCGCGACCCTTTCGCGGCCTGCGTGTTGACTTTCGCGAACGCAGCAGAGTAACAATTTGCACAAATCCTTTCCTGATTATGTTTGAAGCTGCTCAATTGAAAAGACAAGTAAATTAACAATGAGGTGGGGGGTCAAAAAAACAAGGGTCCCATAAATAATTAATAGTTAATTGTTTGTATTTACAAATTCAGTGACTCCATGATTGATTCAGGTCTGTCTCATCATGTACATTTGATGTAGGGTTAGCAATCACCCCATTTACGGCAAAAGGCAATATGTCTACAAATGTTGATAAGTTTGAAAACAAAAAAATCAAAGATATTTATATAAGTATAGTTCAAGATTTTTAAAATAATTGAAGATGTTTTATTTTAAGATGTTTACAGCAATGTTTCAAGATATGTGAAGTAGAAAGTAGCCATTCAAGGTTGATCCGGACCCTGCACTCAACCCTGACCACTGTTGGTTCTACCCCAGCAACATTTTGAACATTCCAACAACTTCTCATTCTGCAAAAATAAAAACATCTTTAAAAATCCTTCAAAATCTTCAAATCATTGAACCTTGTCATGGTTTGTCTCAGATTTTGGACCCATTCATCCCATATTCATCCCATGGTTTCTTGTCATTCTCCCCATTAAAAAGAACAAACACATCCCGAACACGTCTGCCACCTGCTGTCTGCGCAGCTGCAGCCGCCTGAACGAGGTTGGAAACAGTTGGATCTTCCACCAAGGAACTATTGAATGTTGGTTTATTGAAGGGAGAGTATACCTTCTGGTAAACAGCCACATTTTGCCATGGAAAGATCCACCATGCTATTAATGGGAAAATAACCACTATTTCGACTGGCTCATTTTCAATAGCTATGTAACAAATTACCAGAGGGTAATGATAATTTATCTGGTTGGTGGTTTGGAACCATGGAATAGCTATGTTAATTTATAACAGTTAGTATAACATAATGACATAGTATCACTGGCAAAATCAGGACATGGTTTTTCAACCTGTGATTCGTTACCAATTTCACATCGAAAACTTGGTTTGTCACACCTGGTACTGCTCAGCCCTCTCCTGAACATCTGCCACTCGCCGCCACAGGACCTGTGAAACTGCAGGGTTAAACACATGGAAACAGAAATTTAGAGTCCCCCATTTATTAAGATACTAACAGTTTGGTAATGAAATTACAACGGAAATCCCCCATTTATAGATACCCCATTTATAGTCTGGTAAACATTCACAGTTTGCGAACTTGAAGCCATGCTCATAGTTAAATAGTGGATTTACATGGATTTACACACTAATAGCATGGTGATTTTCCATAGTTTTTTGTATGTTTACCAGAGGGTAATGTTCCCATTCAAACCTCCAACAAAGGGGATTTCCGATTTCCATCGTTGATCACCGGAGATCCAGCCATTTAGAGCCATGCCTCTGGGAGAATCATATCAACCATTTATTCCACGGAAATATCATCAACGAGTGAAAATTTTGCTAATCATGTTCCTTCAATTTTTACATAAATTGCTGTTTTTTTTCTCATTCATCAACGATTGGCGAATGGTGGATATGGATGGATATGGATGGATATGGACGGATATGGTGGATCATTCACCAAGCATTTTATGGAACCCCCCCTGGTTCCTACAACGACAACCCACCAGCAACCCACCACGACCGACTCAGCAGCCCGCACCAAATGCTCAGCACCCAGGCGGGGCCCTACGAAGCAAAAGAAGCCTCGGACTTTTCGTCCATGGAAAGATGGTCGTATTTTCCGTGGTGGTTCCCGGCTTCATAGATGTAGATAGATGTAGATAGATGTAGATAGATATAGATGGATATAGATAGATATAGATAGATAGATATAGATAGGAATAGATCCAAAGAAACAACCTCAAAATATGTAAGATAAGTCGATATGAACATTGATATTCCATCAATTCTTCCAACATGAGTTGGTTTTTTCGCACGCAAAAATGAAAAAATATGATTATGACTCAAACATACGGGTCAAATACATTACTTATATTAGTTGAAACACATATAATGTCAACCCCGGATTAATAAACCATGGTTTATTAATTAGGTGGTACTCCCCCAATAGTCATAATCTAATACTTAAATTAAACCCCTAGGCTGTTTAATTGGGAGGGTACCATTTAAGTATTAGATTATGACTATTGGGGGAGTACCCACTAATTAATAAACCATGGTTTATTAATCCGGGGTTGACATTATATGTGTTTCAACTAATATAAGTAATGTATTTGACCCGTATGTTTGAGTCATAATCATATTTTTTCATTTTTGTGTGCGAAAAAACCTACTCATGTTGGAAGAATTGATGGAATATCAATGTTCATATCGACTTATCTTACATGGTACCCTCCCAATTAAACAGCCTAGGGGTTTATTAATCCAGGGTTGACATTAATTACAAAACAATACTGGGAATATGATAGTGATACTTAATGATACGAGTACTTATTGTCATACACTATCATGTACCCAATGCCGTTTTTAGTTCCAGTTGGATGGCTGGGAACCAGCTCTGAAAACGTTGGTGCCCAGCCGCGACTAAGGTGCCATTGGATTTCCTTCAATTTGATCGGTCCCCAATTCTCTGCTTGAAGGGGAACAAGCAAAAACAACAGACTTCTGAAATTTCTGACCTGGCAACGGAAATATATGATTATATCTGGTTGGTGGTTTCAACCCCTCTGAAAAATATTAGCCAGTTGGGATTATTATTCCCAATATATGCAAAAATAAACAGTGTTCCAAACCACCAACCAGATATATACCATTGTATACCCTTTTTTCAACGGCAAATCATCTACAAATGTGTGATTTTCGGTGCCATGAGAAATTGCTGGAGGGGATCAATCTTGTCTCAAATCCAAGGTATCTACGATTGCTATCTCCGCCACCAAAGGATCCACTTTGGTTCTCTCCCCGTGCGGGTAGGATGGTCACTTCAGAACACCGAAATTAGGGTCACGGATTTCCTTGGGCGCAGGGAATTAGCGTGGGTCACTTTGGAAAGCTGCGTTTTGGGAACACCTGCGTTGAGACATCGCATGCATGATTGAACTTCCTGACATGCTCCGCTATTGAATGATCATTTGCACATGCACGTGCACACATACTTGATGCTCCTCCGATGAACGTTCACTTGCACTTGCATACATACTTAATTAATGCTATATATTCAATGTCTGCTTGCACTGACAGTCCGAAGACTTGTTATTATGCCACAGGATGTAACAAATTTGGGGTCATTCCCATCACAGTAATTACTCGCAAAATACACAGTAAAGTGTCTGAAAACTGTGGCAAAATGCAACAGCAATGAAAACACCATTTGGAAATCTTGAATTTGGCATATTTGGATAGGGGTATAAATTCCTTTACATAGGCCTTATACATAGGCCTCACATTACAGATTCTTGGCATTAAGCGAACCCTTTACTAGTGGGCATCCACCCCTGCCGTCCGCGCTTTCTGGGCCAGCCCCCACAAAGGTCGCCGAGGCAAATTTCACGGGTGCCGGGCCTTTCAGAAAGGCTCCCGAACGTGACCGAAATCAATGGGTACCCGTACCCTGTGTCATCAAACATGGCGAGCTGGGAAATCCCTCAAAATAGAGATGTTCGTGGGGAAAATGATCTATTAATGATGGATTTGCCATTGCCATGTTTGATTACCGGAAGGTATGCAATTTTTTATTGGGGAAAACCCGACCGCCCATGATGGGGATAAGCACGGTGCACCCCAGTGGCATATGGGATCTACCTGGAAGCTCGGTGAAAAGTTGTTTTGGGGTTCCCAATTTGACCCACGTCTTTGTTACGGGGCCAATTTTCGAAAATTTGCCCATCACTAACGTTGGATAAGGGTCAACAGGCTATCAAATCTACCTCATGGCAACCACGGATTAATACCGCGGGTGGTTGAATTGAGGGTGACATTCTAAATGATAAACATGATGGTAATCCTGTGGAATCAAGGCACTCCATTCTCAAACAAAATCATGTTTAATATAATCGTCAAGTATGAAATATAGATTTTCATGATGTTTCAAACATATTCGCGAATTCTGGTGATGTTTTTTATTATTAAATTTCGATATTCTGAATCGACTTATGAAAAGTGAAATCACCATGTGTAACCATGTCTTGACAGTGACGAAGCGAATTCCCACTTCATGGATTGATGAATCAACAGGGATTGAACGCCGTAACTGCTGGGTTTCACAGTTTCGATTTTCCCATCAATATTCTAAATTGAAACACTAAATTTAGTTTAACAATATGATTAGTAAATGGATTTAGTGGGAGATTTAATTATCAATATCATATTAGTCAGTTGGGATTATTATTCCAAATATATGGAAAACATATTTTAAAAAAATCTAAACCACCAACCAGATATTGTTAGTTAAATGTCCCACTACATCCCATTCATTCCCATTCTATCTCCAGTTATCAGATGAAGCGCCTTGGCTGTGAATAGGCATCAAAGGCCATGAAGGCATCGGCCTCGAGGTTTTTTAGAATTAACCATGACAATAGATGAAATATATAGAATATACACAATATATAATGTATAATATGTACAATATAGTATGTAAAATAAGATATATAATATCATGATATATATAATATAGTATAGTATAACAAATAGAATAGAGTATAATATTATATAATAACAACTATAGTATAATATTATATATAATATAATATAATAATACAATATAGTAACATATTATATATAATATACTGTAATATTATATATAATCTAGTAACATATCATATATAATATAGTGTAATATTATATATAATCTAGTAAAATATCATATATAATATAGTGTAATATTATATATAATCTAGTGTAATATTATATATAATATAGTGTACTATTATATATATAATAAAGTAAAACATTATATATAATATAGTATAATATATATTATATAATATATAATGTGTAATGTATAATGTATAAGATATCATATATAATATATATTGTATAATACCCTCTGGTAAAATAACATAGACCCTAGCAAATGTTGACGGAATCTCATATACCAGTAGCAATAGATAAAGACCGTCACAAAATTGATGCGGATAATGGAAATGAGAATGACAACGATGCTGAAGAAAATTCAATCAAATAGATTTAAGCAGTCTTGCTATCTTTGTCTTTGTCAACATTGCTACTCAAATGTTGACTCATCAAACTAACAAATATACCTAGTAGATAAAGAACGTAAGGGTGGATAGCTGTAAAAATAGATGATAAAGATAAAAGTAACAAAAATACTAGTAGTAGAAAAAAGAAAGTAAGAATTACTTTCTTTGAGTAATCCGCACTAACCGACATTCTAACTGACATATGCTCTGACATTCTATCTGACATATATTCTGACATTTTACCTGACATTGTACCTCGCATTCTATCTGACATATATTCATTTGACATCCTATCTGGACACCAACACCGACGACGACGACGATGACGACGACGAGGACGAGGACGAGGACGACGACGACGACCACTACCACCACTACCACCACCACTACCACCACCACTACCACCACCACCACCACAACAACAACAAAAAAAAAACTGGTTGCATCGCCGGTGTGCGAAGCTCCACAACAATGGGTATACAATGATGTCATATTAAATGAATATAGTGGTATACAGCACACCCGAAAGAACAAGTGTAGTAAAGTCCAATCCTTCAAGTATCTAACATAAATTAATAATTAAATATATATATATTATGGACAATTTAAAACGGTTTCTGCATCCTTTGTGTGGGAGGGGCACTATACAACAAAAATGTGGGAGTCACTGAAGAAACATCTACTGGAATTCAAGAGGAATTATGGGGATATTTTTACATGCCAACACCTGCACCGGGAGATGGTCTTCTTCTCAGCATCGATTTTCGCTAAATCTTTGATACTCGTGTTGCAAAATGTCACAATGTGTCAAAATATCTCATCATGGTTCTTCATGTTTGTTGCTAACAGCCCCATTTTTCCATATTTTTTCCAGTTTCTCCTCTTCTCGTAGGTTCCCTGGCTGCTGCACCGCAAATTCCCACAGAATTTCCAAGGGACACTGCGTATCGTTGATACCTCTGCAGTGCCATCGGGCAGCTTGCGCACCTCTGTTGTTTGGGTCATGACACTGCAGAAATCCTTGAGTTTGATAGTAAAACCATCGATGTAAGTAGACATAATGAATATAAATGGATAGTCATAGATGTAAGTGGATATAAATGGATATCAAGGGACATATATTTAATATATATATAAACGGATAAGTAGCAAAGCCCGAGTTTATTTTGATACCAACTATAATCATTTGGAATATATTGGGATGATTCCGGGATGGAAATATATTTAGGGCATAAAAATATCTGAGTTCTTGTTGCTTACATCCCCATATTAAAAAATACATCCCTGTACGAGTTCACCGGGTCAGGTTGGGGATGTATCAGGGAGCATTGATGTTTGGAATTGTGACGGAGTTTTTTCTGGGGCTCATTGATGGGGGTTCGACAGTTCGAGCTGTGCCAAAATCGACAGGGCAGTTTGGGGAACATCATCCCAAGGGATCATTGGATGAAGATTCATCACGACTCACGACATCTTCGGCTATGAAAAAACCCAGAAATTGAAACAGAAAATGGTCACAAGTGACTCAGTGCGATGTTGAAGGATCACTTGGCAAATCCTGACATCATTGGGTCAAAAATATATTATAATATATTCAGGGTTTCAAAGTGGGCAGAGCCACAAGAGAGCCACAATGGTAGTTCAAGGGACAGTACCAGAACTGATGTGAGCATTGCCAAATGGAACCAAAATCATGACCCAACATCTTGAGTGTTTTGACAACATGATGCAATTCTTAAGAATCAAATTTGGAAAATTTAATTAGAGTACGTAACACAAAACGTTGTTTTCACCGACAATACATTGGGATTTTCAAGCAACACAAATTTAGAATTTTAACCAACATCCAGTTATAGCTACAGCTGTATACAGTTTTATGTTCCATCATACCCATATATATATATATATCATATATCATATATCACATATAAAATATCATATCACATATAAAATATCATATCATATCATATATCATATATCATATCATATCATATCACATTATATTATATCAAATATCATATCACATTATATTATATCATATCATATCATATATCATATCATATCATATCATATGATATTATACTATACTATACTATACTATACTATACTATATCATATTACAGTATATTATATGTAGTATATCCCCCATGTTAGATGATGAAATGTCCATCTTCAATTCCCCAGTCCTCCCAGTCGCGTGTTTGTTCCGCCGGGTGTCCCAACCCAAAGGCGCTTGTCCGGCCATGGAACAGCGCCTGGTGTCACTGGTGATTTCACCCATGGTGAACATAGCTCCACTGGTTTAAGGGAAATTCTACAGGAAACCCATGGGTTTTTACCATCAAATATAGGGCTTTCCGGTTTAAATTTTCCCATCATCCAATTCTATGGTTTTAATATGGTTTTAATATGGTTTAATATGGTTTAATATTGTTTAATATGGTTTTGATATGGTTTAATATGGTTTTATAGGGATGACAATGGAATGATGATGAGATAATACTGGGATATTGATGGATATACCCTCTGGTCATACAAAAAGCTATTGAAAATGGCCCATAGAAATAGTGAGTTCTCCCATGAAACATGGTGGATCTTTCGCTATGTGAAAGTTTACCAGAGGGTAGCTCCACTGGGATCGGGCTATGGGCGTAACTCAGAACTGAGTTTTTGTTGGGGCAGAGCCCAATTCTTCGGCACTAGGATCTTGATTCGACAAGACATGCGGTGGGAATGGCAAATCATCCCAATTTCATCCCAATTTCTATGGTTTGGGAATGGCAAATCATCCCAATTTCTATGGTTTGGGAATGGCAAATCATCCCAATTTCATCCCAATTTCTATGCTGGTCGAAACGGGGCAAGATGTTTTGGATTCTGGTTCTGGACCGAATTTGTAAAAGACCCTAGGATGCACAGGTATGCACAGATTCTGCCAACTTCTAGTGGCAGACCGAGACCCCTGCGAACCATCATTTTGTTGAGGGTCGCCACTGTGGCTGTTGCTCAAATTATGCCAACTGCTAAAGTTGTCTAGCTCAATATAATAACTATATCGCTAATTATTATAAAAACTATATCAATATATATAATTATATATACACATGTATATTAATAAGATTTAATAAGTATTGTTAGCTCATTGGTGGGTTCAATCCCCACAACTCCGACCATCCCAGAGGTTCCCATTGGCGCCCCACCCGCACCAGGCCGTGTCCGGGTGACCTTGCCGTGCCCGTGCCGCGATGGGGGAGTCATTGGGATGTGGGACATGGACGGAGAGTTGGTGCATGTTTTTTTATGGGAAATCCCCAAGTCACTTGATAGCTTTCAAAATTTCCTATTTTTTTAAAGTTTAGTTTGGATGGGCGGGTACCCGTAGCCCGAAAAAAAATCTGTCCAAAGCGCAAGACTGTCATCAAAAATGGGGAGAATGATGACAAAACATTGGTGGTTTTGGGGTAGCCTATTTGCAGTCATACTCAAGTGGAGAGTGGGAATAGATCTGTCTGAAATGTGGAATCTTTGGGCAATAAATTTGGAACAGTGGAAATAAATGGCGAGTGAAACTGGGGGCGAAAACGGACAAATTGGAACTATGGCCGGCCTGCCCCCGGCCAGACAATGGAAATCAACAAACAAACTGTATGAGATCCAACAAAATGAGTACGCTCACCCCCGATACTTCCTCTCATACTTCCTCTTCATAAACATAATCCGCGTCATACCTTTCTATTAACCTTCTTTGGGTGGCTAGGTCCATATTCAAACCCAAAAGCACCAGGATCTAATCTAAATCCTTGGTTTCAATTCATTATTTAGCTATGGCTATTCCCCAAACAAAAAATTGCATTTCCCAGTCATGGGGGTTTCTCAAAATGGGGGATCAAAAAAAGTCACGATAGGTTAAAAAATACTGAAATGATATCACTAATCCCTTCCCCTAATATTAAACACCGCATAGAAACCATGGTTTTGTACGAGATTGTCACTTATTTGGGACCATTTCTGGGATGTGTTTAATAACTTTTAATATGAATGGGGGATGGGGGATAGGATTATCCCATTATACAGATTGTATCCCATCAAAGTAATACAGCGTAGATGTTTAAACAGTCGGATTTTAAAACAAATCAATAGGTATTTTATTGTTTTTTTATACATTTTTATACTACCACCGTGAAGGTTTGCTGGCCACCTCGTCCATTTATGTCAACTTAAACAGTCGGAAAATAAATAAAACAAACATTCGGAGCTACTTTAGGTCGATTAAACTTTGAGGAGCTTGCTAGAGTTGGAGGTTTCTGGAAGGTCTAGAAAATTCCAAGCTGGAAGAATTGAGATTTGCAGGTGAGGGTGGAGAGGTCAAGGCTGGTTCCAGGTTGCTAAAAAATAATTGCTAGATCCTAGATATCACTACGGGCCGCCAGTCAATGAAACAGTAGGAAAGTTAAGGCTGCGGAACTTTTAAACATTCGATTTAAACCTGAACAGATATTTTAGACTACCTCCGTAGCCCCGCAGGCAAGGACCGCCCTCCAGGTATTTCAAAATATCCACCGTAGTAAAATCATGGAGATGATTTTTGCTGCTGGCTTTGTCTGAAAATGGACTATCCATGACTAATGTCAACCCCAGATTTTGCTATACCATGGTTTATTAATGGGGGGGGTACTCTTCCAATAGTCATTTCATCTCATACTTAAATGATACCCTCCCAATTCAACAGCCGTTTGGGGGTTATTAATCCAGGGGACCCGCCTGCGCCACGGCCGACGCGGCCAGCACTGCGAGACCTTGAGGTGTCACGGTGTCACGGTGTCACGGGTCCCAAGAAATAAGCCAATTATTACCCTCTGGTAAATTAACATAGACCCTGCCAGATGGGGATTGGAAGATTAGTTCCATTCAAATTTCTGGCTATATACGGCTATTTTCAGGGTCAACGAGTTAATTTACCAGAGGGTAATGATCATTGAATCATGAATCAAATATCATAAATAATTATGAATACCAATATTTGATATATTATATTATTACCAATATTTGATATATTATATTATTACCAATCATATATCAAATATTGGTTTCATACGCATCATTCATCTGGGGGTTTCCTAGAATTCTGGATCCCATATGGTCCCATGGCGTCCCCAAAACTATGGCTTTCAACATTGTGATGGTCCAATTTTGGATGATTTTGGGCTACCCCCATTTCAGGAAACCTCCGTATATTAAAGTCATATATCCAATGGATCGGACCAACAAATATTGGGTGGTTTAAATGGTAGATAGGAGAATATCATGGATTTGAATGGTAGATCGAAAAAACATGATTACCACCTAGCCTAGATCTAGAATATCAAAGAATTGTTGGGACGGTAAATGCTAGAAATGGATAGAAAATGGCAGATAATAGATAGATGTATGTAAGTATAAATAACCAACCACCAATGTCATAACGTGTAGGGCAAACAAAACTGATCTGTTTGCCAAGCAAGAACACTGAAATTGACCAAAAAATTGGAATAACAATAGGGAGGCTTTACCCAAAAACAAATCCCACCGTCCTAGCAAATAGGACGGCGACATCCCGGCTTTTTGTTGCTACACACCTAGCATGGTCCCAGAAAAAATGCCCCAGCTGTTGAGGATGGCTGAGGATGGCTGAGGTGAACCATGGTGAAGCCATTGACCTGGGTTACCCATAGAATTCCCATAGTTTTTCTCGTGAATTCAATCCAAGTTTCCCAGGGTCCCAGGGTCCCAGGGGCCGTGCCGGCCGTGCATCGTGCATCGAACGGATCCCGGATCCCGAGGATCGCGTTTTGGGGAACTCACACGATCTTCGCTCAATCAACGTTTAAGGAAAGATGGAAAGTTACAGGATCTCTGTACAAGGATCCTCTACTGTAGTACAACTCGCAAAACCATGCAAAACCTCTATCAAGCACCGAAATCACAAGAAATCACAAGATATATACACAACCCAGATCTCTATGCAAGGAGCCTTGGGGAACCTGCAAGATCTCTGCTTATGCAGACCCTTGGTTCGGGTGGTTCACAAGATCTCCACACACTGAACGAACTCACAGGATCGGAACTCATCGGAACTCACAAGATCTCCGCACCAGGACCCTTAAACTCGTAACATCTACTATTAATATCTATCCCATGACGGATCCATGTATGGTATATATGCTAACATTTGGGGTATATTGATGGTAAATGTTACCATATGTTACCATATATAGCATACATGGATCCTATGGGTATAGTAACATCGTAATACTATGCCCCTCCGCTTTCCGAATACTGTCTTAGCATCTCGATACTATTCCTGATGTGGGAAACCCAAGAACAAACCTACCATTTGGAGATGGTTTATACCAGCCATTTCAAATGGTGATGATATGGTGATGATTTGGGGAGGGTTTTTGAAATTGGGTTTCCCAGATTATATAGATATATAATAGATATTAGACTAAGCCCATCGCTAAAATACCCATAAATGGGTGGATTATTAGGTTTCCCGCATGATAATACATGATATACTCACGACATCTCACGAATGATTAGATATGTCATGCATTGTCATGCTAGGTTTGTGAGGTTAATAGATATATCATGATATATCATGATACATCTCCCACATAGACATTCTACTTATACTAAGCCACTCATACAATCTAATTTGGTTGGTGGTTTCAACCCCTCTGAAAAATATTAGTCAGTTGGGATGATTATCCCATATATTCTGGAAAATAAAAAATGTTTGAAACCACCAACCAGTAATACATACTTTCGAAATCTTTCAGACCCATCAACCCCCAGCGCCGTGGGCACCTTTGCTCCGCAGCTCCCTCGACCTCGACGTCGCGGTCGCCGCGGCCCACGGCACCGGGCGCGGCGGCAACGCCGGCGCAGAGCCACACAGGGCGCTGACGGCCCGGGGCGAAAACGACAACGCCATTGTGCCACGAAATGGGGCTACGGTTGGACGTTAATGCTAAATGATGTCAAATGCTTTGTAACTGGGTAATAACCCCATGTAACCTGGACGTATCGGGATATATCCCAGTTACTAACAACTTAGCTAATTCTGGCAACACTCAAGTAGGCGGACGTTTATGCCTCAGAAAATTTACATTTGATGTGTTTTAAGGAACCTTGAAGAATGAAATCAACATGCATGCACAGTATCTGTACAATTGCATTATACTATAAATTTATCAATCTTACATCTAGTTGATACATACTGATACATAATGTATATAAAATGCATATACATATTACATATACCAAAGAATGTCTGAAGTCTGAAGGTAACTCACTCGGAACTCTCGAGGATCACTCATGTTGCCATCTGGGATTCCATAGCTCCCATAGGGCCATTTGAGCCCAAGTCTCCAGCCCCCAGGAGCACGGTAGCACTCGTTTTGCTCCATCATGTAGCCACCCATCCATGAAATCATGACTCCACGTCAAGATTGAATTTACCAAGATATTATATATATATATATAATTATAGCATAAATATATATATGTGTCTTACAAGTATTTATATGCTATTATATACACATTGGAGTTCTACCATAATCAAGTCCCATCTGACCATGACCGATGAAAACCGAGGAGTCCATTCCCAAATCCATGGCGTCGAGATGTTCTCTGTTTCACCAGGTCTTGGTTGCTGCGTAAGTACTTGAAATGGGGATGGGTCAAAACCCTGGTACCTAGTGAACATCAAAATAGCTGGTAAATGGATGTTCATCCCACTAAAAAATTTTATCTATAGGTATTGACCCATACCCAAATCTATAAATGATTCTTGAGAGATTCATCCTCTCAACTGGTGAAAATCGTGGCTGAGTTTTCACTGGACATGGCCAAATTTTCAGGCCCAAGCCCGCATTTCTTTGTTGCTTCTGTGTTCAATCATCGAAATAAAGACACCAAACAAATCCAGGATCCAATGTTTCGGTGTCCCCAAAAGGTTGGCCCTACTGTACCCTCTGGTAGTGCAAGATGACTATGAAAAATCACCAATGGGAAAAAAAAATGAAAAATAAATCAGAAAAAAATAATATTAATTTCCCAGTTCTAATAGGTAAATCAAATAATTATATATAATATTATTAAAGAATCTATAAATGGGTCATGTTCGATAGCAAGCTGCTCAATTCCCCAATAAAAACTGCGTGATCTTTCGGTCGCCGGCTTAGCCAAAGTGGCTGCCCACGATGCCGCGCGTCTCGCGGACGTTGGGGTTGGGATCCTTCGGAAAGTCACGGATGCGAAGCTTGAAATACCTGGCGCTGGGATGAGTCAGTGCACCCTGGTACCCAAACGCTACGTACCCTGGTACCCTATAATTGTTATCCTCTGGTAAACTAACATAACTATGGGAAATCACCATTTTTAATGGGAAAATCCACTATAAATGGGCATTTTCAATAGCTATGTTAGTTTACCAAAGGGTAATGAATGTTTATTCCCCCATTGATATGATGATAATTTAATAGGTTTTGTATGAAAACTTCACCAAGCTGAATAGCTTCCCAGATTCTTCCAGTTGGTTTTGGAATGATGGATGTCAGGGATCATTGTTCGCACGAAGCGTGGTTTGCAAATGGCTTGTACCAAAAAAAACAACAGGTATCTGGATCATAAATCAGAAGCATTCACCTGGAATGAGGCCTTCATGGCCGACGATGGAACACACCACAACTTGGAGATGAAACCAACAGATCGTTATGGCCTTGGTCATGGCCAAACCAATAGAGTCCATCGTCAACGTTCATCCCTTCAAGGCTCTACCAGGTCCGGAGTCCACAGGTGTCCAGGTCCGGAGTCCACAGGCGTCCACAGGTCACGTGGCACTGCGAATCATCTTCAGCATATCCACACGGTGGACATAATCGATCTTCTTTGAGTTCCTTACTTTGCCGATGTCTCAGGGTTTTCCCCCAGCTTCCAGCTGGACAGTTCTGTGGTTACTCCCAACATGCCCCATGTTGGCTAGGGTAGCCATTATTACCATCTGGTTATGACTAACATAGCCATGGAAAGATCCACCATTTTTAAGAACGGTAAACCATCTATCCCCAAAAAAAATCCTGGTTGGTTCCCGGCTCCCCCCACGAAAATTTGGCGTTTCGGCTCCGCGCCGGTTCTTAACCAACCCTTTTTTTCTGGGTGATTCAAATATCACATAACCCATAGGATCCATGTATGGTATATATGCTAACATTGGGGGTATATTGATGGTAAATGTTACCATATATAGCATACATGGATCCTATGGGTAATATCACAATTCCATGAAATATCCCATATCCCAAAAAAGTGCTTGGATATGGGTTTGTCTGAAAATAGGCGACCCAAAACAAAAAAAATTGTCAATCAAAATTTCCCTCTCAAATAGTTTTTTTTTGTGCTTTCCCATTGGGGTATACATCATTTTCAGACACAACCACTTATATCACTTATGATATTGTTGGTATTTACTGGTTATGATATCATTAATTTCAGCTATTTATACCACTTATACCACTTATACCACTTATAACCACCTATTTCCCATTGTTGGTATTTACTGGTTATATATATATAAGTGATAAGTGATCCTTTTATGATCCTATTAATATCACTTATCACTTATATCACTATTATATATCCTTTTAATCCCATTTCTCATGATGTCACTGGTTGAAATCTTCCCCGGCTGATGGGTTTCTGGGTCCAAAATCCCATGCTGAGGCCCAACTTCTTGTCCAGCCAACTGCGGCGGCGACGTTTCCTGGGAAAATGATTGGGTTTGGCTTTAGAATGGCTTTAGAATGGCTTTAGAATGGCTTTAGAATGGGGTTCGTTCATAAGACCCATGATGATTCAGCACTTGAGCTCAATGGTAGCCCTCCAAAAATGGGCCGGGGGTGATTTTGATGCTAGCATTGGATTCTAAGCCCATAAATTTGGATGTATTGGGATATGGCCCCCCTATCGCTATGATGGTTATATATATATAACTATATATATACATATACATATATATATATATATATACATATATGGGCACTTATAGGTGGAGCGGTATGGTGTGTCGAGAGTTGATGCTAGTACGAAAAACCACGGAAAACATGTGATCAAGGCTTCCACCCTCGAAGTAATTGGGAGATGTTCCTTCAAACTTTGGTCATGCCAGCATCATTATTGATTCTCATATACAAATGGATTGTAATAGTGATATAATTATATATATATGATTCCTACAGTATTAATGGAAAGATTACGAAAGATTAATAGATATCTATCCCCCTACAAGGGTACATCACCCAAGTTCTGACATGGCAGAATTTTGTTGGGATAACATGTGAAGCCAAAACCCCAGATTGGTTTGTCATTAATAGCCACCATTCAATTTTAGGGTACCCGATCTGTATCCTTATCTAAAGGGGAAACAATCAAGAACTCTTGAAGTCGATGCGATTGTCTCAAAAGATTTCCGCTTGAACACCCAAATCCTATGGTTTAGAAAATAACTCTCCCCATCATAGGCCATTATCTATATACTTCTAGTTGAATCATTTCCACACAAACCTCTAATATGACTATAACAATATACGCGTCCAAACAGCTGCAAAACATGCAAAAAGAAGTAATTACTGAAGATGAACATCAAATAAAACAACTTTACAATTTTACACCTGCAAAACCAAAGTAATGGATAAGTACCCTTCGTTGCTCAAGATGAAACAACCAAACTCAAAATCCCAAAACATGTGACTACATTTTACATGGGTTTGTCTGAAAATAGGGTACCAAAAAAAAAAGGTTCATCGTCAAAAAATCCACATATTGTTGGTTGACTATAGGCAACTTCCATAAAACACCATTGAATCATGCTTGAATTATATCTTGTATCACCACCATATCCCCGTTGTATCCCCATTGTTATGTAGTTGGTCAAACTCCAGGTTTCAACCGCCACAACCAAGAGACCCGTCGCGCAGTCGCGAGCGCCGGCGTTGCCAACCAAAGCGGGACAGGCGGAAACGCTTCAGCACCTGAAGAGATGTCCCAAGTCCATGGAACAGGCCATGAGATACCCCCATTTTACCTGGGCTATTTAAAAATGGGTGGATCTTTCCATATGGCAAACTGTTAGTCATAACCAGATGGTATATATCTGGGTAAATTATAACTATCACTATATCTGTTCTAATGTCAACCATTGATGTTGGTTGATTATATCTGTTTTAATGTCAACCCCGGATGAGACTAAATCATGGTTTATGACTTTATGAATTAGGGGGGTTACTCTCCAAATAGTGATAATGTGATACTTAAATATACTTAAATGGTACCCCCAATTAAACAGCCCAGATGTTTATTAATCCATATGGGGGTCCAAAGTCATGGGGGTACTCAATAGCTGGATGGTTGATAATAGAAAATCTGAAAATAAAATGGATGATTTGGGGGTGCCCTATTTTAGGCACCCCCCCATATTATATCTCTTCTAGATATATATATATATATGTTTATATGAAGCAATGGACATATAGTTTCATATAGACCCTTATGATAGTTAATTACATAATTAAGGTAGATAGCATATAATTAACAGCCACCATTGAATGACCATTGATCTCAGGGGTTGGTCAATGTCTTCATTGTTTACATCATCCAACATAAAAAGGGAATGTAATTATAGATACCCTCTGGTAAACTAACATAACTATGGAAAATCACCATTTTCAATGGGAAAATCCACTATAAATGGTCATTTTCAATAGCTATGTTAAATTACCAGAGGGTACAGTAACCTCCAAGAAATACTTCTTTAGCTGATGTGAAAAAAACGGACCATTCACCAACCCCTGGATGTTAACCAATAAATATCACCATATTGTTACATAACACAAATTTGTCCTGTGAATCCCGTGAAGAATCCTGGTTTTCGTATGTTGATCCCCAATCACACTGTACATGTTTGGTGATCAAAACCTGATTCAATGGATTGGCTTCAGGTAAAATCTGCACTGGAAACCCTGGCACCAAAACCACCAAAAATGGACGATCTCCAGTAGGTTTTCCTTTAATCGAAGTCTGCGAGATACCAAAAATTGGATGAATTTGCTGAAATTCAATTCTAAAATACAAATAAAATAGTGGTGAACTTGCTCTGTTCATTTCTTATCTATTTTTTTTCTTTTTTGGGGGTGCGCTTGATGGTAAATCTATGTAAATCTACTGGAAATCATGAATCTTGCAAGTCTTAAATTTCATGAGATTGGGAGCAGGCACCTCAGATTGGTTGATTTTTTATCGGATACTGTTGGAGAGAAAAACTGCCAATTCCCAGCTGTTGTGTGTTCAAAAACGTTCCAAACAGAGAGACCAACGAATTCTCACAGGGCATCAAGACTATCATCACTATCAACATCTATCGACACTATCAACACGGCCGTCCAATGTTTAGAAAAAAAAAAGGTCCCCCAAGGGCCACCTCCGCATGGTTTCGGTTCTTGGTGCTGCGCTGCTTGCTCTCTACTTCCAATGCCTCCGGCAAATCGAGGAGACCGGCTGCGCGTAACGTACACAATCTAAGATATTAAGATTATATCATATACAAATAACAAAATACATCAAAAATCATCAAAATACAAATTTAGTTTGCTATGAATATATGTATAATATCTATATATATATATTCATATGTGTGTATTATCATATATACACATATCATTTATATTATACATTATATATTATATATTATATATCATATACTATATATTATATATTATATGTTATAAATTATATATTACAGTATATAGTATATATTATATATTATATATTATATATTATATATTACATATTATATATTATATATTATATATTATATATATGATATTATATATTATATATTATATATTATATTATATATTGTATATTATATATTATATATTATATATTTTATATTATATATTATATATTATATATTATATATTATATATTATATATTAGATATTGTATATTATATATTATATATTTTATATTTTATATTATATATTATATATTATATATTATATATTATATTATATTATACATATTGATCCAAACAAATGAACATGCACAAAATCCCAATGAACGACATGCCCAACAAACGTTGCTTCGTCCCTGGGAGCGCCAGCATAGCGCCGGTTGCGGAACCAGTTCACCACCTTCTGGATGTTGTACCTGGTGGATAATGTAGGTAATGATGAGTAAAATGTGGTAAAACAACCAATAATGATGGGATAATGATGGGACATTTTTTCCATAGTCAACCAATCTCATGCTGGCTGGCGGTTGTCCTACCCCTCTGAAAAATATTAATCAATGGGAAGGATTATCCCATACAAGGAGGAAGCAGCAGCAGCAGCAGCAGCAGCAGGCGGAAGCAGCAGCAGCAGGAGGCAGCATCAGCAGACAAGAAGCAGCAGACAAGAAGCAGCAGCAAGCAAGCAGCAAGCAAGCAGCAAGCAAGCAGCAGGCAAGCAGCAAGCAAGCAGGCGCAGGCAGGCAGGCAAGCAAGCAATCAAGCACGCAAGCACGCAAGTACGCAAGCACGCACGCAGTCACGCAGGCACGCAAGCAAGCAAGCAAGCAAGCAAGCAAGCAAGCAGCAGCAAGCAGCAGCAAGCAGCAGCAAGCAGCAGCAGCAAGCAGCAGCAACAGGTAAGCAGCAGCAAGCAGCAGCAAGTAGCAGGCAAGCAGCAGGGAAGCAGCAGGCAAGCAGCAGGCAAGCAGCGGGCAAGCAGCAGGCAAGCAGCAACCAGCGTTTGCCCCTTTTGAAAGAATGATCAAATATATTTTAAAAAAATCAACGCAATAAAAAAAAAAATGAACTTTTTCCAGGCGCACGGCCCCAAAACGAAGAAATCGTTCAATTACTAGAAGTTGTGGTGATGCCAAAATTGAACTTTTTCCAGGCGCACGGCCTCCCGATACGACTTTTACGAGCTGATACGACTTAACGCTAGCGCTTGTATATGATGGAAAATAAAAAATGTTTGAAACCACCAACCAGCAATCTTATGCGGGATAATGATGGATAATGTGGGATAATGTGGGCAAAACAAGGGGATAATGTGGATAACATGTGGGTAAAACAATGGGATTTACAAGGATTATGGTGATTTCATGGGGAAAATTCCATGGGAATCCCTTAGAAAGTTGAGGTTTTAATGGGAATAATGTGGGTAACATCACTGTAGTTATAGTATATCTATGATAGGATAAGAAACTATCTATAGGATATATCTATAGTATTGTCTATGATTATATGCTGTTATAGTATATCTATATTCATACAATGTGGGTAAAACAAGGCCATAAACCACCCATGGCTGGGAAATGGTTTTTACATACCACCTATAAAAATGGTGATGTCTGGGCGATGGTTTAAGGCATTGTTTTACCGACATTAGTGGAAAATCAACCAATCGCTGGATGACTATACAATATATAATGTGTATAAAATATGACATAATATACATACCATATGAAACCATATATGTATATTAATGCCATGTTTAACATGATATCTATAGAATCAGTTCTGTTTGATCCTTGAGGTCCTGGCCATGGATCAAATTTGCGGGAAAACACCACTTCACTATAAAAGGCTGGTTATGTTATGCACCCCGCAGAACAAATAGTTCTCAGGGAACCCATCAATTGCGGAAAGCCATCTTCCAGTCTGCCATTTTTCAAGATTCCACAGTCTTCAGTGGGTCCTGTGGTTTATCCCCCCAGTAATCCAGTGGCGCCCAGCAGCTTTATAAATGCAAAGAGTTCGCCATGAAAATATGTCAGCTCCTGTGAAGCTACATAGATGTAGGTTTAAGCCACCATGTGTATATAGATCATGTTCCTAGGGATTCCGTATGGCTTTTCCACATCTATTTCTATGTAGAAACCCCAGGGTTTGAATCAAAAGCATTGGGAACGTCTCCACCTGTCTGGCGGTCACTGGCGCGTCTGCATGTGGCTGGGGAAGGTCTTGAACCTCGGCCCACCAAAGCGCTGATCTGTGGGCTTCCCCAAGGATCTGCCAAGCTGCTGGTTGGTCATTGAAAACCTGGCCACAGGTGGGTTCCCCCACGGCTTCCAGAGCGACTGTCTCTCAGAAAACCGGTGGATCTTGAACCAATGAAGAAGCAGATCAAAACTATTCAAAACTCATCATCCGAAAAAACAAAATCAGACTGAAACATCTCCCCGAACGGTTCCCCATGAACTCCCTGAAAAACCGACACTCGCCACAGTGTAACCGCCTCCCAAAGGCACCAGTCGTTCCAGCGGCTCTGTACAAGGGAGTCTGCCATGAACCTGTTTTCTGTACAGCAAGGGTGGTTTAATGGAGATTTATGGAGGATGTATGGAGGTTTCCTATGTCATGGGGTTACCCTCAAATCATCCAAAGTCAGACAAACGATTTTGGTATATGTTAGTATTGAAACCCATGCTTGCGGGATTCCCTACTTTAAGAAAAACCCATATGGGGATTTTATGTAAACTATGAGGCTGAGCCAACACTAATTAAATGGGCTCCTTAAAATGACCTAACATCATCTGTACCATTCATGGGGATTTCATGCTGGCTTAGACAAGTTATACGGTAGCTTTATATATAGTTAACCAACATTAACCAACAAACATGCGGATTTATCCAACACAAACTTGAGCCCAACAAACATCGGCTTTGACGGTGGATAACCCCAACAAAGAAAGCCTATGATGGAGGGACCGGACACCCGATGATTTCCATGTCAAGCCTCGTAGCTTGGCCAAGTCTCTTGGGGCTCCTTTTTTTTTGGCCAGAGGGCTATATGGCTAACCTTAGAGACTCTGCAAACAACAAGAAGCATCAAAATAATTATATACAGTTATATTATATAATGAGTATATAATAATTATATTATACAATTATATAATAAGTATATAATTTATATACATGATTCCCCCCCGTTGATTGCAAAAGAAAAGTGACAAACAAGTTCCTCCATTTGTAGCATGTTGCAGCTCCAAATTAGGGCATCGTTTCCTGCAGGAGAAGGAACAGGGCCCACGCACGTTGGTGAACATCATTAGGTTGACCATTGGAATTATGGTGGAATATGGTAGATATGAATGGGCTTATAAATCTTCCATATTCCGGAAAAATAACTGGTAATCAGGTGAAGCCCATTTTTTATAGAAATATTCAATGATATTCAATGATATTCACCATATAACTGGTAGATATGGTAGATAAATCCAACTTACCCCCCTGGAAATAACTGGAGTTTGCTATGGAACATTATGGAACACCACCATCCCTTCGGTCGAGGCCTGCCATCCCAAGACTTCGAAGGACGCCGAGACGGGACGCGCATGGCAGGTGCCTTGGCGCATGGGGTTGCTGGGAATTTTGGGTGGAAAATGCTGGTTAAACCTTGAAAAACAGCGGTTTTATAGGATTCTAATAGGATTTCAAGGTGATCAAACATGGCTCATAGGGGAAATCCCTTACAAATGCAAATTTATAACTTGGAAAATCATCGAACTAAATTTGGAATGGTCCATTGCTGATACATTCTAGGATGTTCTAGGACTAATATCCACGACTCCATGTCACCGGCCGCGAGATATTTTCTAACTTAGACGTTGGTTCTACTGTACCCAGAAACTAAAGTAGATGATGATGATGATGATGATGAGGAGGAGGAGGAGGGTAACGACAACGATAACGATTGCGATCATGACAACAACAATAACACTACAAAAACAACAATAACAAACGATAATATTCCCAAATATTGCCAAGACAAATCATAATGAATCGTACTGATAACAGCAAGCGACAATGAACCTGAAACATGACGACATTCCCCTCCAGCCGAGGCGACCACCGGGCAAAGCCATTCCAGAGTTTCATGGCGGGAGAGGAAAACACTAGTGGTTTACCCTCTGGTAAACATACAAAAAGCTATTGAAAATTGCCATTTATAGTGAGTTGTCCCATTAAAAATGGTGATTTTCCATAGTTTTTTGTATGTTTACCAGTGGTTTAATCAGGAGTGACTAGTGGTCGACAGTCACCTGATGTGCTGAACCCAATCGCAAATCGAGACTACGAAGCCTCAGGGCTTCTTAGCGGTCAACAAAAAATGTTCTTTCTTGTAAGGTAACGCTACAAATCACAAATCACAACGAATCTCCGAAAAAGGTGTGGCTATAGATAAAACAAAAAAACTAGAGGCACGAATTGGTACCAATGGCCGGTGGAGCCCACGAATGACAAACATCACGGGGGAACGAGTTGTAGAAACCAACCAAGTTCACCCTGACAGGCCCTTCTGACACCACATCTTCACTGGTCAATGGTCGTAGATCCAAAAAAAAATACCGATTTTTCATACTGAAATTTCTATGAATCCCCAATGAATCACCATGAATTCATAGCTTTGTTTCATGGTTTTGGTCCATCCGTCCGTCATTTCGGATCAGCTGTGATCTCGATCAGCTGCGGCATGACGTGTTCATGATGTATACTATGCATGTCTTTAGTATGTACTCAGTATGTATTCATGCTGTTTTCAATATGGATTCACTATAATGATTCACATGTATGTAAACTATGTATTCATATGTATTCAAATTGTACATTCAAATTCTATTCAAAGGCTATGCTCCAAATGGAGAGATTCAAGGCAGCAATGCAGTGGGGTAAACTCAACATGGTAGAGCGAAGGGACCGGCTCCTACTGCTAAAAGTAGACAGATGTACACGGGGTGATAATACTACCCGAGTTGATATTGGATTGTATTGCAGATGTCATATATGGTTATAATCCCTTCCCCCGATTAAATGCCCCCCAAAGGAAACCCTGGTGTAGTACTTGATCCCTTCATTTGCGGAAAATCCCACCAGAAAAGACCGGCGGGCTGTTCACCTGCTCAGTTTTCCAATTTTGACGGTCCAAATCCATCGTCATCGCGGAATCAATGGTATGTGTTCATCGCGGCCAGCCCAGCTGTTTTGGGCGCTCAAAAGCCGCTGAAGCGCGGTTGACATGGAAAATGATGTTAATGGACACCATCCAGGAAGGCATTTTATCGAGGACTTAAAACGATACAATTTGTTCATCATCTTAACCAAAACTCATAGTTCATGATCATCTGGGATTTTCGAAAAAACCGTCCTCAATCTTCCTTATCCTCCACCACCGCTGGGCTATGGCGCTGTACACCCAGCAAGAGCCGCAGAAAAGACAAGCATTCCAAGTGGCAGATCGCCTCAGCTTGGGCACATCGATGGGCCGTGGCCCATTGTTTGGCAAATAGAAAATACCCCAAGTGTCAGGCAGCTTAATATTTGGGGATGTCTGAAAATGGCGGAGTCGTCCCTTATGTTGTGTTATTTTAGCAGGAAATATGATGATAAACCATCAAATGACCCCAAATCGTTGAATGATGTATGGAATGGAAATGAATTAATGTACTAGTTTGACCAGATGTCACCATCTCAATTGTGTTTCCACTTGGGGCCCCTATTTTTCCTTTCATCCAACAGCCCTGACAGTTTTATTTATCTGCAGCTGGATCAAATTTGCCACGGCAACCATCTATATACAGTGCCCATTTGGGCGTGCAGTAGAGATCCCCCAAAAGTTGGGGATAGTTGGGATATGGCCCAAATACCCAAGTGGAGCCCAAACGCCAATCGCATCTCTACCATTCTCTACCTATCCCTAAGAAACCACCCAGCCAAGTGCCAAGATAAGTCACCCATGCAAGTGTGGCAGTCGGCAAAATGTCGGTGAAGGGCAGAAACTCTTCTAAAGTGCCCAGAGAGCTCACCTCAGCGCCAAACACTGGCTGTGTGTCCGATTCCAAGTGGAAAATGGGAGGGGTTTTTACTGGGTTCTCCCTACTCAAATTTGGTGTTATTTGATAGTTGAAAAAGTCGTTTTACGCAACGCAACTTTTGGCCGTTTTTTTGTTGGGACACTGATGAATTGTACATCACAATTAATTCTGGGTGGTGGTTTGGAATTATTTTCCGTGTTCCCAAAAAAAATGGGAATTTCATCATCCCAACTGACGAACTCCATCATTTTTCAGAGGGGTTAAAACATGTTAAAACCACCAACCGGAATCCCATGACGGTGCTACCAGGACGGCCAAGGGTCACGCACCGCTAGACATCAAGACTTTCCTGATATTTTTTCCAAGAAAAAAACCGTCAATAAAAAAGAACAATGATTTTTTTTCCAGGAAAATTTGCTCATTGTTTCCCACATACTTCCTTGATCAAATATGTGTATATATATATATGTATATATGATATAACTATATAATATATAATAATGTGTATATATAATTATACTTATATAACTTATTTGTGTTTTACTCTCCCAACAACCTGGATTGTATTGGCATAATGAAGGACTGTGTGTTCTATGGTCTGACTAGCCACTGGAGGGTCGCTTCCCAACGTTTGTATCCCAGCAAATGGATACTTGAGAAACATCCTGATCGCAATTTTCGAATGTGTTTATCTATGTTTATCATGGTTTATCTATATTTCATGCATCTACTTTTGACATGGCGACACAATGCCGCTACTCAACGTTTCTCGATTAACGCCTCCCTGCTGGACGAAAGAAAATGCCGGAAACATCGGTTGAAGGCAGTGGCTCAACACAGACACGTCCCCCCGGAAATTGCAGGGTGGCACCACGACTTAAGTTTCCTTCAGATATGGGTCTGTCTGAAACTGGATGAAAATGGGCTATACCTTTCGACATAGCCATCAAGTAAAAGGGAAACGTTTGATTAATCACTGGATGGAATTGGGTACCCTCTGGTAAACTAACATAGCTATTGAAAATGGCCATTTATAGTGGATTTACCCATTAAACATGGTGATTTTCCATAGCTATGTTAGTTTACCAGAGGGTACCCTATTTGCAGACAACCCCACATAGAAATGTCATGGGTCAGAAATTGTTTTCGGCCCAGGGGACCGCAGAGTCTGTTCATTTCAAAAAAACGAGCTGTCCAATGTTAATCCAATTTGAGCCGTAAAAAAAGGAATATCTAACTTTGACCCATACCCTCTGGTAAATAAACATAGACCCTGAAAATCACCCATTTTTAGAGGAAACTAGTCTTCCAACCCCTATCTGGCAGGGTCTATGTTAATTTACTGGAGGGTACCCATATATTTATCAGTCGAAATTGATACTCCCATTGTTGATATTATCCATTGTTGATACCATAGAAAAATCCCACATCTAAGAATTAATTTCTGTATTGACTATCTGGGATTAGTTCTATGGAAACGTCATCGCTTGTCATTGGCTCTGTCATTGGACTAGGCCAGGTCACATGGAGACTACTGACACTTCGATGGGTGAACAGGTGAACATATACAAAGCACCTCAAAAAAAAGCGAGTGATCACTTACTGTAATTAAGGATCAAGAATTCCACTTAAGAACTCTGTGGTGTTTTTGAAAAAATTGCAATACCCCAACTCCAACTTGTCTTGGAAGAAGTTACAACGAGCAGGGGTTGGGTCAACTGGGCGATTTCGTCAAGTTTTCGGATTGGACCATCCTCGATTTCAATGATAATTCATGGATGTTTCAATGTCCTGTTGGAGAACCAAAAAAAATTGAGGTTAGTACCAAATCCTCAACTTCAACGGGTACTCACTGTAAATCATCTACTTAAATCCAGGTTTGTTTTCCAGATGCCTAAGTTTCTATTGTTTTTTTAAATCAATATCCAAAGTGGTGATGTGGTTTGTCACCGACATTTCTATGTCAAAACTGGGTTTTTTTGTTGCGTCAACTCTGAGGATGGGACTGGTGACTGGATGCACCAAGCAATCCATGGCGGGGAAATGTGAGTTTTCTTGGTGGTCCCGTGGTGGAAACCAGCATGAACCAGCACAGTGACGACAGATATCTGGAAAAATTCCAAGATATTCAATAAGTGTGTCATGTTTTGATACAAGGAAACATGGGTTTGTCTGAAACTAGATTAATTACCCTAAAATTATCTAAGTTGATCATAACTCACAACATGTCTCCCCAAAGAACTCATGGAGAGCCCATCCCACATCCTTTTCGTTGCCAGGTCGCGAGTAAGCTTCCAAAAAGATACCTCGGCACAGGATCGACCATTGGAAAATTGAAACGGAAAGCCCCATGATCTGAAGATGCGAAAATCGAGGCGAGGTTTCCTCATTTTCCAAGCAACCCATTGGTTAACTGCTCAAAAATCAGGAAACCATAGATTCTTGAAACAATCAATGTGTATTCTACCCTTTGGTTATTTAACATAGCCATGGAAAATGGCCCATTTATAGATGGTTTGCCTATTACAAATGGTGATTTTCCATGGCTATGTTAGTCATAACCAGATGGTAATTCTAATGGGAAACAAACAACGGTGGCTTCGCGCGGCCAAGCGCTTCACACCACAACCACCGAGGTACTGAAGCAAAAAGCCGGCGATGGGGGCCCACATCAGGTCGGTGATCTGCGAGCAAGTCTTGGGATGAAAAAAATATGGGGTTTGGTTATTTACCCTCTGGTAAACTAACATAACTATGGAAAATCACTATTTTTAATGGGAAAATCCACTATAAATGGTCATTTTCACTTTAAATGGTCATTTTCACTTTAACAAACATCAATGGTTGACATTAGAACAGATATAGTGATAGTTATAATTTACCCAGATATATACCATCTGGTTATGAGTAACAGTTTGCCATATGGAAAGATCCACCCATTTTTAAATAGCCCAGGTAATAAATAGTAAAATCTAGGATTACCATCTGGTTATGACTAACAGTTTGCCATGGAAAATCACCATGTTTTTAATAGGTAAACCATCTATTTTCATGGGCCATCTATACCATGGTTACGTTAAATAACCAGAGGGTAGGGGGTTCCTAAGTCAGGAGGGTACCTCAAGCTCGCTGGATGGTTTATGGAAAAGCCAATTGAATATTTGATGGAGGATGACTGGGGGTACCCCTGTTTCAGGAAACCTCCAAATGAGTTGTGCACGATGATGTTTGATCATTGAGGATATTTAGCTATCAATGTAACTCCAGGTTTGCGGAATCCTGATGTTGGGCAAAGACCTTCGAAACGCTGCGACCGCTGCGAAAAGCGAAACAGGGGAAAGGCAGGGGGAACGCCAACCTGGCGCATCATGCCATGTCGAGTTGTGTTTTCTAGCAGGGGATCTATTTTCCTGGGTCGATTTTATTACCATTCCTAGCAAAAGAATGCAAAAGACTTATATCAATGGGAATTTCAGGATCCTAAAATGGAGGTACTGTACATTACTGTGCCATATAAGGCCATATTTTATGGGGAAAATCCCATTGATTATAGAACTATAACCAGTACGAAGGTTACGGCCGTATGCCGACCCATGTGGATCGTCCCCTCCGAAAAAACCACCGAAACAAGCGAAATGGTGTCTGGGTCCTCCCTTCATCTCCTTCAGCACTCATTCAACAAATATCAACAATATATCAACAAATTTGATCCTTCTACATTGTTGATATTTGTTGATTCATGATTTGAAGATCAACAAATGTCAACAATGTAGATTCCGCACCATAAGATCCCGAATGCTTGCAGAACACCATGATTCCACATGATGCTCTATGTTGTCTTTCGCAGACACCATAAGACATATGAGCCATGAAAAATACCCCTATCCCATCCCATTATACTGGTTGGTTAGTAGTTATCCCTATTATGGTTTATTATAATCCCCATTAAACCAGATAGTATGATCTCCATAATAACCTATCAACCATGGTATTTTTAATGGCTCATATTTCTTGATGTGAGAACTTGTTGTTGGATGTTCTTGGCGTTGAAATCTGGGGCACACCCTCCGCAGTCAAAGCCCAGCCTCCCCCACCAGCAGGATCAGATAGCTGGCCATTCCTTAGGTTGTCGAAGTCGCATGGATGGATGCAGTTTCTTTAGATATATATATATATATTACATTAGATATCTATATAATTCTATATAAAATATATATATATATAGATAGAATAGAATATGGATCTGTTCAAAGGATCCTCACTCAAATCCCACATATTCTATCTCCCTCAGGGT